AAATGTGTATTGCTTTTGCACCACTGCAAAGTTGAAAAATTGCAAGTAGATCTTAAGTCAAGTTAAAACCCTCTGTCTGTATCTGTTCTTGGATGAATGAATACTTTGTCATTTTGCTAGCCTGTTTTAAAAAGTTCAAACACTCCTACTTTCTAATCCTAGTCACTCAATTTTGATGGCTCTGTGTCTCAGGATAAGCCCTTATCTTGATTCTGACTGCTCTGCTCGATGCCCTGGAGTATATCCCAAACATTTCTCTCTCCCCACCCTCACCCACACTTCACAGAAATACTACTGACCCATTGACTCAACATGAAGACACTGAGTGCTTGGGTTAGGCCAGTTGCTCTTCCAGTGCCCGTCTTCCATCGATGAATATGTCATTTCTCTCTTTTCTTAAGGTGAAGACAAGCTGATTCTTCCCTAGAAATCTTTCCCTGACCATTCAGGCCTGTGTGAACCTCTTTGGGCACTCATGACCCATATGGTAGCATCTCATCACAACTTTATTTAACCACTAAATGGACATTACATATATGTAGATTTTATAGACAATGGCTCTTTAAAGAATCATCGATTTTTAACATGTCAAGCATTTGCATGGAAATCTTTCAAATGTTTGCTTCACTGCTTCCCTGTCTTCTTAAACATAATACTGCATAGAGAGCATCCCTCTAGGCTTTTCTAATGCAGGCTCATTCCTGGTAGACTAAGTGTTTTCCTGTGGTATGGTCTTGTGCCAGGAGGAATACCTGGTAAAAGAAAAGGCCATGAGCATTGGAATCAAATGATCCTCATAATGACCCCCTTTGCAGTCGCTGGTGTCCCTCTGAGATCAACTCTGACTCCCTTCTTTTTTATTTTTATTTTTTGGTACCAGGGATTGAACCCAGGGCACTTAACCACTGAGCCACATCCGCAGCCTTTTTTATATTTTATTTAGAGACAGGATTTCACTAAGTTGCTTAGGGACTCACTAAATTGCTGAAGCTGACCTTGAACTTGAGATCCTCCTGCCTCAGCTTTCCAAACCACTGGGATTACAGGCGTGAAACACTGCCACCAGCTTCTGACTTTCTCTGAATGTGTTTCTAATCTATAAGAGACTTAGGAATTAGATAATGAAGGTTATTAGAATTGCCTGCAAACTCAGTGTACAAGTATTTAAATGTAGGTAAGAATCTCCTATTGATAAGTCTATCTGCTTTAAAACATAGACTTCTGTAAGTTAATTTGTTGATCAGAGGTTTTTTCTCACTGAACTCCCATTTGGGGGCTTTCTTCAGAATTCTCGGATGTCTAACTTTTCAGAAAGTATGATTTTAGAGCACTCAGCCTTTATATGTTACCTCTTGTTAGCTATCTTATGTGCAGCTGTCAAGATTTTTCAACTAGATCATTCCCTGGTTAGGTTATGAATTTCCCAAGGGCAAGAAGTCTTTGATAGTCATTCATTCCTTTGCTAAGTATATTTTAAAGCAGCTACTATGTGGAAAGATCTGTGATACAAAAAAAGGGGGTGGCAAATAAGACATGATATTTACACATTATTGAAGAGATAAGATTCAAATAGCCAATACAAGGTTAGAAAGTAGGCAGAAAAAATCAGAGAGTTTTGAGAATTTAAATGGAAGAAGAGACTATTCTGTTTGGGAGAACTGGGGAAGGTTTTATGTAACAGGTGACATTTGATTTGGGTCTTGGCAATGTGAAGAATTTTAGTAGGTAGCATTCTAGACTTCGGGAAAACTATGAGAATGGCAAAGAGGATGAAATATTCACATGCAAGCATGGGATGCAGTCATGCGAAGAGCACCCACTACACAGGATCTCTCCTCCCCAGTTGAGTTTCCAGTAAATGGATGAGTGAGACAAAGGAGTGGCAGAGGATGCCCACAATATTACCTTTATTATTGATTTAGCCTAAGTTGGAGGACTCACCTTTAGGGAAAAACCAACTATGGCTGAAAACTGCCACAGGCAGTTTCTTTAGGTGATACTGAAGCTAGATTCAAAGATAGGTAGTTAGTGTAGTTAGGTAAATCGGGTCTAACATGGAGTAAAATAAAGAAAATGGAGGCCGTTATAGAGAATGGAGTCCAGGAAACCAGAGCAACACTTGGGGAAATTGAAATGTTAATGTTCCCAAGACCCTTAGAACCCATTCTAAGGAACTGTTAATGAAACAGCTCCTAGCTGTCTCCCACCTTTTGGACCTTCCCACCTGCATTCTATCACTGAAAGATAAAGGGAAACAAAAGACCTGAGTGTGGGAAAGCTGAAAGAAGACCTAAGCTATAAAAAAAGGGAAGACCTCCCCCTTCCACGGATTCCGCCTTTTGGGTCCCCTTCTTCCTCCTGGGAGAAGTCCTCTCTGTAGAGTGGACTTTCCACTCTACACTTGCCTCGGCGTGCATCTCTGGTGTTATACTTCAGCATTCGAGGAAGCAAGGACTCCTCACCGGTCAACAGCTGTAACAATATCTGACAATCACTCAGTGCCCCAGAATTTTCCAGTGCTAAACTTCTCAACTTTAAAATCCAAGATTGTTGGATAAAAACAAATAGTAAATAGTGTTTAAAAGTGAATTTAATATTTTAAAATAGTTTGAGATTACACTTCTTTCCCACAAAAACATTGTATGGTGACTAGAGGTAATAACTGAAATAAATTGAAATTACTTTCCATGAAAATTCACTGAGGACTCTATTTTACAGCAGCATCACAACTTGAGTTAAAAAAAATCCTGCTTAATTTTAAAGATTCTTAATGTCAAAATGAGATACTTTTGGCAAAGCTCCACAATTTTACACCCAGTCTTGGTGGACAGTCAACTGGTCTTACTGGGGGGATCTAGCTCTGCTGGAGTCTGCAGCATCTTCCTCAGGAGCCCAGATAGGTCAGGTGTGTGGGTGCAAATGGTCTGGGGTACCAAGGGGGGGCAGTGGATCCTGATCCTGGGAGTGGTGAAAATCAGTAAAGTTGAACATCTGGGTTTCCGCTTAGGATGTGTAATGGATAAGGGAGAAATGAGTGCAAGAGGGGATAAGAGAGAAGTGATGGGGGATTAAGGGTTGATTGGGGCTAAAGGTCCCTAAGACAGTCCAGGATGTGCTGAGGTTTCCCAGCCTAAATGTTCACAATACTCCTGTAGACAACGCTTGCAAATTCAGCAGTTCATCATACACTGCCTCCACTAGAAAATTTTGTCATGGCAGCAACTCTGGGTCCAGCTAGATCTGACATACTTAATCTGGATCCCTAACCCTAACAACACAAGGCAACTAAGAGTGCAAATATTCACGAAAATAGTCGCCCACTGCTCCTCGCCTATTGGGCATTTCCACTTTTGGTAAATCTCATCACAATCCTGCAAGGTACACATTAGCATCCTTGTCATTTTTCAGACAGGGAAACAAAGGTGCAGAAAAAAAAGTAGACGAGGTTGAATCAGCACAGAACCTTGGACTACCTGTCATCAGAAATGTACTCTTTCAGCAATTTCTAGGAGACTTGAAGCAGGGAGTGCCTGCTCTGTTAGGGGAGGAGTAGTGACAGCCTGTAGTAGTGTGAGTGTGTATGGCTATTTATTTGTGGAGTCATTTCTTGCGGTACTGGTGCGTTTAAGTGTGAATACTATGTGGATTGAGACGTGGGTGTATATGAATATTTGTGGGTCAGTTATTATAATATGTGTAACTGAGAGTGTGTCTTGGTGGGCGGGGGTGGTGGTGGAAGTTAGTTCCTGAGCCTTGTGAATATGTGGGCCTTATGTGAAAGCAAACGATTTGGATTTTGTGCATAATTCTAATTATGTGTGCATTTGTGTATGTGCATGAGCTTGGGAGTGCAAGCCTGTCGGGGACCTGGGGTGGAGGGTAAATCCCTGGGTCATGAATTCGTGATGCATGTGAGTGTATGCCAAAAAAAAAGAAAAAGAAAAAGAGTGGGTTGCTGGATGTCTGTCCGTGTTTGAGTGTGAGTGTGTACATGAAGGTGAATGTATGTAAGGGGGGGGTCGTCCCCGGCCCCTGTGTTAGCGAGTGTGACTGCTCTCCAGTCGGCCCCGCCCCCCCGCTGCAGGTGGGCCGGGCCCGCCACGGGGCCCGCAGCGCTCGCAGCTCTTGGCTCGCGGCCGCGCTGGGCTTGCAGGGCTGGGCTGGGGCTGCGGGGCGGCGCCGGGACAGGAAGCGGAAAGCAGCAGTGCAGCGGCGGCGGTGGTGGGGCTCTGCCTCTACAAGAGCCCAGCACAGGCCGCAGGGACGCGGCCGCTGTGAGCCGAGACCGCGGGCCGCCGAGCCCAGCCGGCCAGCGCGGAGGTGAGTCCCGCGGGAGGCCGTGCGCGGCGAGGCGGCGGCCTACGGGCAGACCTCGGGTGGGGAGATGCCCCGTCCGGACTCGGCGCGCCCCTGCACCCTCCTCCCGCACTCCCTCCGCCGGACTCCGATCGCGGTTCGCGGCCCTCTCTTCTCTGGCCGGCGGCTCCCTTGGCTTCCTCCAGAACGCTCCCGGGTCGTGCTTCCCGGGACCCCACTCCTCCCATCCCTGCACGGGGCGCCTTCCCGCCCCTGCCCTGCGCTCTCCATTGCACCCGACTCCAGCGCGTTATCTTGGACGCCCCCCTTTACCCCTGACTGGCCTTTGGGGTGCGCCACTTGGGTGCGCGTGCCGGCCGCTAGGGAGTGCAGAGCATCGATGGGGGCAGTTATCTGGGCCAAAAGGGGTGGGGACTCAGCGGCTCTGCGCTCCCCAGGATCCGGGCGCGCACCGGGGTTCCCACCCCTCTGCCGGACTGGACTCGTGTAATCTCCAGCGCCCGGGTGCCACCTGGCCGATCGCCAGGTACCGGGACAGAGCTGGCCTGTGTCTCACACCTCCCTTGCAAAATTGAGCCAGCCGGGAGGCCTTGGGGGGGCGCGTCCGGTTGCGCATCGGAGAGCGCAACAGGCAGGTAGGAGTTTACTTTCAAAAAAGCCGGGGTGGAGCAGAGTCGTGCCGGCCAGTCTCTGCCGAGATGTTCCTATCCTGGGAAGTCTCGCTGCGCTAGGGTAATGTTTGCCACTGGCAGGACCTCATTTCCTCCTGCAGCCTTTGAACTGCCCCAAGCAACGCGCCCAGAAAAGTGTGAAGCTTTATAAAAATTTAAACGCGTCGGTGGTGGAGGTAGAAGTGGGGCGGAGCCGCGGCCTGGCGGCTGGCGAGAAGCTGGTGAGACTTGCAGCCCAAGAAATCTGTTGCTCAGCTTTTACACTTCCAAACCAGGTATAATTCCCACGCCTTGAGAAAGAGATCCTTGCCGTGCTCCTGGGGTGGTGTTAGGGCTGGGTGCGATTGTGTGGCCAGTACGTGCAGTTCGTTAAAGCCCTTTTTTGAGGTGGCTGTGGTTAGAAATGGATGTATTCTTAAAGACTTATTCCAAAAGCTAGCAAGCTGTAGAGAATCTGGTGTTTTCACTGACATGTTTATAAATTTTACAGGGTTGCTGAAAAATATTACAACTTGTGTCACCAATCAACAATGCTAATTAGCATTCTCTTTCCTGTGGGTGGGTTGTTTGATTACACAGCTCCCAGGCTCTTTAAGGGAGATGGCAGAAACTGTCTGAATCCAGGGAGACATAATTAGCTATTTTATGTAACCACTAATTAGAGTTTTTTGAATAAAATCAATGTGATATGGTTGGGGCTTTGATTTGTTGGGAGGAAACTGTTCTATTCTGCAGTTCAAAGAAATAACACCCTTCACCTATTCGTGAGCGTTTAGCACTTCCAAATGTGGGTGACTCCTAATATGATTGGTGAAAACACCCAGTGTGAAATTTGCACTGTTACAGTGTTGGCAGTGTGACTTGGTTGCAACTTAATTTGTAAGTAAAATAGGAGAAGAATTCTGAGAGTGGCATATTTGCAAGGGCTGCATGCCAGACAGTGCATTTTATTGTTTTATGTGTTGAGCAATAGGCAAAAACCATAAAGGAAATTTAAAGTTTCCTTATGAAGCAACAATTCCAATGTCATCCTTGTCTATTGAAAAATTAATAAATGCTGAATGAGGAAAGTACCGTCTCTTTTATCCTCCTAATACATACACATACCCTGTTAGCTACTCTAGACTTCATCTGCTGCTTGGCTTTGATGGGCCTTCATCAGGTTGGATTTTAGTTGGAGGTCTCTGTCTTTGGGTTGTGGGCCCCTTAAGAACTAGAACTATTTGAGATTCATTTCTTTTCTACTGAACTACCCCCCTACCCCGCTCCCAACTAACACCCCTTGCAATGCTTAGTTAGGACACTGAAGCTGTGAATAGAAGTTGAAATTGCAAATTCTTTGTGAGGTTATAATGTGGTTTGGAACAATTTATGATTGTTGCCTACCCTCCTCTATGTAAATAAGCAGATCTGGTAATTGCTACATTGCTATAAATTTTCCATAGCAAAGAACACACGTTCTGGAATTAGTCTCCCAAAGTTCAAGCCCTAGTTGGAGCACATACCAGGTGTGTGACCTTGGTTTCCTTAACTGTGCCATGAAATTAATATTTTATCTCCCTTAAAGGCTTGTTATGAGAATTAAGTGAGATACTGCATGCAAATAACTTCTGAGAGTCTAATATATAGTAAGCACTTGATAAATGTAAGCTGTTAGACTATAATTGCCATCATCTCTCTGTAAAATGAACTGGGGGCATGGCTGTATGTGGCAGGAGACTGGGGCATGGTGCTCGGTTGTTCTTCATAGGTGGCTTGCTTGCGAGGCTGTGTTTCTACAAGCAGTCTTGGTCTCAGTGAAACCTGCTGAAAAGGCATCTGCATGTTCTGCTACTGTCTGTTCCTGCCCGCGTTTTCCTGAGTCCCAGCTATTGCACAGTTGTCATTGGACCTGGCACCATAGAACTCAGAGAAGAGCTAGTTCTCATGAAATTGTGTTTCTTTTTTCTGTTGTTGTTGCCTCTGAAGCTCAAAAGTCTAGCAGGGGCAGGGGGTTGCTTACAAACAAATATCCATTGTAGAGCCTCAAATGCATTTACCTTTCACAGCTCTTAGAAATCTATATGCAGCAGTTGGAGGCATTTCAGAAGTAATTAATGATTTAAGCCAGGAGCAGTTATTCTGGGAAGGTGAGTTGAAATCATTGGCAAGACAGGTAAAAGGAGGTTGATATTTTCTCTCCATGTGAATAGTGGCCCAGAATTATTCATTTATAAGACTTCTGTTGCCATGAAAGGATTATTAGGTATGTCACAAGTGCCACAGGCCCTGTAGATCCTCATGCCAGTGACCTGGACAGTGTTTTAGGACACAGGTTCAGAAAAATGTTTTCTAGTTCTTGTCATCCTTCTCTGAACTCTTCTACTCAACCTTGTGGTCCTCCAGATACACCCACACCATGTTCTCTAATGTATCTGACATTCACTTCCAACCTGAGGAAGCTTGCAAGGGGCAGAGTAGAAATTATTAAATTACTTAGCCACAGTTAATAATAGTTGTTCAAAGTTGACTATCAAACCAAAATGATACACGTAAAAATTCAATGAAAATGGTATGTTAAGTCATATGCCACTCAAAGGTATTCTTCCTAACCCAGGAATTTCACTTTACTGAATTTATAGTCGATGGTTGTGCTTACCCTGTGCTTGGTAGTGTTCTAAATGATTTTTTGGAATCATTTCATTTAATACCCACAGTAAACTTATAAGGTAAGTAAAAAATGTAATTCTGTTATCACAGTCGAGAAACTGAGGAACGGAAAAGTAGCTTGCTCTGAGATCACCCAGCTAAAGAGTACCCTGAGCCAGGATTTGAATGGCGATGGTCTAACTCCAGAATCTGGGCTCATAAGCTAGTATTCTCTGGAGGAAAAGTTGGCTCTAAACAAAATTATGTAAGTTGCTGTTTTCCCCTTGAGGCTTATATAATTAAAAGTGTGTGCTTGGAGCAAAATATTCACTTCAAAATATAAACAATAAATCATGGAGTGAACCCTTAGGATTCTATGTATGGTAAAAATAAAATATTCAAAGTAATGCACATAGTATATATAAACACAGTTGATACATAAACTGTGCTTTATGCTTTCCCTTGGAAATGCATCCACCTCTGGGAGAGAGGCTGACTCTTGAAGTTCCGTGTACATCTCTGTACCTCTTGCACAGTTTATGTTCTACCCTCCCAACCAAAGCCCCCTTAATTACTTAATAGCTCTAGGCAAAGCTGTTGATGTTTTTATAATTTGCTTTTCATGAAGATTAGCTTATGTTTACCACTGTCATTACCATAACCTATTATTTCCCTCATGATTTTCTGAGCACTGTTTTTCTTTCAAGTCAGAAGTCAGGTGTATTTTATGTGAGTGAACATGACTTTAGGGGAAGATTCTATTTGAGGCCACTGACCTTTTCTTGCTCTGAATAAAGGGTGGTGAAAGAGATCCTTTGGGCCTTTTTGCCTGGGAATTCCAGAATTCAAGGCACTTCCACTAAGAAAAAAAGCACCCTGTGCACCTGTCTAAATGGTGTTCCTCTTGCTGGCATGCGTTGTAGCTTGAAGAGTTCCCTTCCTGTCCGGATGTGGGCTTCCACCCCTTACCAAGCAGTGCCTGTAGCTTCTAAGGGGTGGGTGACAGGAGGGTCAGGATGCATCTGGAATATGAACTCTGGTGTGAGCCAGTGGTGTGGCTACAACTCTCCATAGTTCTGACACCACTGTTGTATCTACTTCTGCAAGGATTTTTTCCACAGTGAATATATGCCTCTGTGTCCTTAGATCTGCTGCAGAACCCAGTATTCATTTAGCAAACATTTATTGGATACTGATTATATTCTAGGAACTGGAGAGAGAGTACTGGAAGTGGTTCCTACCCTGTGAAGCTCATAGTCCATACAGGAGCCCGACACTGAATAACCATACAAGCAAAAGTAGGTAGAAATTTTGGGATAGGAAGAGTGCTGGGTTCTGGGAAGGGCCTGATTTAGATTGGAGGATCAGAGAGGCCCCTTGGAAGAAGCTATATTTAAATTCAGAGGAATTGGGCAAAACTGGGCATGTGAAGAGTGAATACCAGCAGATACACTGCATTCTGCCAAAGATAGGAGGCTGGAAAGAGCCCGTGCCTTAGAGGAACCCGGTGGGCAGGACATTGAGATCAAATGGAAGATTTTGTATTTTATTCAAAATTCAGGGGGAGACCATGGAGTTGTTTTAAACAGGGGAGTGATGTCTGCATTGTAATTTTAAAGGTCACTCTGGCCTCTGACTGCTGCCCAGCCTGGGCCAAACAAAATAGGTCATGTGACGGGTACAATAAGGAGGCAGTTCCAGATTTTAGGGTCCAAATTTTCTCCTTTGAATGACTCCATGCATTCAGACTGGTGCAGCAGCCTGTAAACTTATTACCCAGGGAAACTGATTCCTTTTTATACTTTAGAATCTTCCCTGATAAGGGATCCCTTCTGACCTTGTGTGAGTGCTGTCAATTCCTGGTGCATACAGGGAACTGTCTCATAAATATGTCTTTGCAGGGATCAGCTTTAGGATACGCTTCTTTATTAACTGGATCGAAGCTCTTAACCTGAGCTCAAACCCTCTTTTAAAATGAGTGCACTGTGGATTTTATTAGTTTGTTACCTGTTGCTTCTCCTTAATCCTCACTCAGATCTTAGAACACGAATTGGTAACCACAATCTTAACAGTCTGACTTAGAAGAAGAGCCAGGTTCTTCACTGACTGGATTAACTGAGGAAACCCAGAGGTCTTGCTAAGGTTGGCGTAGTGTTACTGTGAACCAGCAGCATGAGGGTAGTACCCTGGACCAGCAGAGCTTAACAGTGGTCGGAGGTGTGGGATAAAGGGAAGTGAGTGTTCCCCAAATGGTATATGGTTGGGTTCATAAGATGAATAGGATGATGGTATCACTGCAGCAGAGGAAATTAGAAAGATTAGGCCAAGACTTGAGAGAGCAGCAGGGGGTGGTGATAATCCCAAATGGAACAAGAAATATCCAAGCAGGAAATATTCATCTGGGCTTTGTCCTTCAGGCCTTATTTGTTGGGGACCTATATGATCAAAGTATGGCACAGCCTCCAAAGAGCCTGTACCATAGTAAATCCACAGATGGAGAAGAATAATGGTGCATGTTTTGAGTGTCAAGGGATGACCTAACAGGAGAAGGGAGGACACGTTTGGAGATGTAGTAGAGGTACAAGTGCCATTGAATCGGAAGACAGCCAGGAGCAGAGTCCCAAAGGACAGCAGTGTGTCTCTGTCATTGCTATACCCCTATCCTTGCTGAGAGTATTCTTTCATGGCTACTCTTTAAATATAGAGGTGAATAAATGGATCACCTGGGTAAGAAGGACTTGGAGAAGGATGACAGGTTTGATCTTTGGATTTGGCTCACAGCAGTCTCTGGGCAACTACAGTGAGTTGCTTCCGTGGAGAGGTGAGAATGGAGGATTTGGTGGTGACAGGGAGCGACAGCATGTACAGATCCCGCTTTGGCAAGTATGGTCAGGAAGCGTGGGAGAGAAACTGGGCATGGGGGTTGGTAGAGTTAGGAAAAGCCTTTCCCCAGAGGGCACTTGGGGGCTGTGATTTCCTTTGAGAGACATGCCTGAAGTTGCCCTAATGGATAGTCAAGGTTTTAACGAGAATAAAGAATGATGACCTTTGGCAGAGCGGGGGAAGAGAATGAAACTTGGGTTCTCTGAGCTGGAGGCTCCCCACCATTTAATCCTTACCAACGGCCCTTGAAAGAGAGTATTAAATAAACCTCATTTTATTTGGGGATCTTTGTGGATGGGTGGAACTTTGAAAGCTCAGACAGGTCAACATCTAACCTGTGGTGTCACAGTTGGGAAGCATGGAGACAGGATCAGCACTGGTGTGCAGAGCCTAGGCTGCCCGCCTCTTAGATACCCCTCAGCATTTAGCAAGAAAACATTCGATATTAGGGTGGAACAAGGAATTAAGGATTATGGTTGAAAGGCAGAAATGAGTGTAGGAGTTATGCACGGTTAATTATGAATCTGAAAAAGGGTGGTCAGTTTTCTTGACACATGCAGGTCAACAGGGAGTGGGCCATGGGCTCTCAGGAAAAGAGACTCAGTTCATTCCAGGCTGCACATATTGGCTGCATCTCCCAAGGCTGGTGTCTGCCAGGTATGAAGCTGGTAAAAAAGCACCAAAACCTGGAGCAGAAAGGAAGTCAGACTGTAAGATGCTGAGAGCTCACTGGAATGCCTAGTGATAATGGTAGGAGACGGAGCAGGGAGAGAGAAAGGTGCTCTTGAAGTTTCCAGAAAGGTGGACGTTAGTCCAGGAGCCAAACTAACATTTTCTTAAATGCCTGTTGTATTTCACATTTAATCTTTACAGTTACCCCCGCCCCCCAAAGAGGGTCTGGGAAACCTGTGGCTCCAAGGTTAAGCTCAAGTGCAAAACTGGTTAGTAAGTGGTGGACTGCAGGTGAGCCTCAGGGTGGGAAGCCTCCCACGCAGGCTCTTCCCCCACGGCTCCTTCCCAAGCTTTTCTCTCACTGAGGACAAGGGGAACTTGGAGTTTGGAACCATTGAAGGGAGTGTTGATGGCCTCCAATTTTCATTCACCCTGTGCCTGGCCATGTTTGCTCATTACAGCCATCCTGCCATTTGCAAGTTCAGAGGTTTAATCATTTCACTGAGGTCTTGTAGCTAGGAAGTGAGTCAAGTATGGGGTTGCAACCAGCTCTGGATACTACAGTATCTGCTTGGGTCTTCATGTTAGCCCTATGAGGGTGGTGCCTAGTTGATTTATCCCTGTTTAGCAAAACAAGGCTCAAGAAGGCTAGTGGCTTATCCCAGGTTGTAAGACATGGCTGAGCTTGGGCTGGAACTTAGGCTTCCTCAGGGCTCGCCTTGGACTTCATGGCCTGGGAGAAGTGAAACGATGAGTCAGGATACCCTGGGTAAAGGAGGCTAACCCTGGGTAGCAGACAGACCTTGCACAATTAGTCAGGACAGTCTCATCCTAATCAGTATTCGAAGCCCTGGGGAGTGGGTTGGTGTGTGGTGATGTGACATGCAGGCCCAATTCATGCCCCAACCCGCCAGATTCCCTTCAGACACTTGTTGCTAGCTGGGGTCAGGGAGACTGGGCCTCCTCCCAGTAGGGGTAGGGGTATGGCATTTGCCACTCCTTTGTGTTTTCTTCACACTTATCTCACTGGCTGTGTTTGCAGTTTCAGCTTCCAGGGGCGCTGGAAGGAGGAGCCCTGTTGGGCGGAGTCCAGCTCTGGAGGGGTGCTGGGAGAGACAGAATTTCCTAGAAGTAAAGCTTTAGCAAGTGGGGACTCAGGAATATACTTGGAAATGTTTCCAATTTATTTTTATTGCAAAGCAATACCTAATGAAAGTGTGGGGAAGGAGGACCCAGGAGCCTGCAATCAATCAATCATGGTCTTTCATTTTCTGATGTCCTCTTTTAATTCTTTTTTTCTTACATAAGCTATTTTCTGTGATTGTAACTGTAATGTTTAGACTCAGCGTGCATCTTCAATCCTGTGTCCTGCTTTGTGAATTTGTCATTCATCATAAAAGTCTCCATTCTTTATCATTATCACTTTGTACAGATATGTGATATTTCTTTGGTTAGATGAACCATGAGTTTCCTTACTGATTCCTTTGTTTGGGCGGGGGGGGGGGGGGTCATTTAGATTGTTTTTAGCTTTTTAGTATTAGAGACAGGGAATAATTATTCTTCTTTAAGAATTAGCTCTTTAAGGTAAATTTTTAAGTGTTTGGATTCTTGAATTTAAGAGATAGAATTTGTTTTTAAATTGACATTTGGAAATTATGACCCAAAAGCTACTTCCCTAAGTATTATTTATTTATTCAACTAACTGGCAGTGGGGGGCTGGGCATTCTGTCTAGCATTGGTGTGAGAAGTCACTTCCTACAGCTAAAGCCAGTGAGGGTGAGGCTGTGCTCAGGAAATGGACCACTGCCCTGGCTCTCCCACCACCCATCTTCCTGCTGCTGGGATGGGATTTGGCTCAATTGACACCCATCCTAGGCACCTGGGAAGAGGTGACTATTGTCCGTTATCCTTCAGCCCAGTTAAGATTGGCTTTGAAGATTGATCCCTCTTTCTTTCCTCTTTCCCAGAATTTGTTCCTGGTGAAGAGAAGCTCCTCCTCTGGTTCCCAGACCCCTTGAGGCTTTAGGAACCAGTAGGTGAAATTATCTGCCTTGAAGGAGAAACAGCACCTGCTCCTTCATCAAGAGGAAGCTGTTCATTGCTATGGATACCGAATCCACATATTCTGGATATTCATACTATTCAAGCCATTCAAAAAAATCTCACAGACAAGGGTATGTAAGCTGTCAATTGTTCCACTTTTCTGTTTGGGGAAAACTGCAGGCTGCTGGAGCTTTCTAGACTCAGTTTTCAAACCGCTTGCTTGCAGGGATGTTCATGTTGGAGGTTCAGTCCTCCGGTGCATGAGAAGCTGAACACGGTTGACATGTATTGGGAGTCGCTATACCACCAATTTACATTTTATAGCCACCATTACTGTTGATGACCTAAATTTCTCACAATTGGTTTTAAATTAAAGTTTCCCCGGCAGTGGGAATGTTCTTCATTTCTAGGTACTTCTAGATGTCACTTTTACCAATAATGCAAATGAAAAGTTTAAAAACTTGTGCTGATCTGTGGGTGTCACCCCAGGCTGCTGACTCATTGTCCATGATGCCTTGCCATGAGGCTCACACGCAAACCCGCGTGATTGGCCAGGCCCCTTATTTCTCTTTGACTAATCTTCCAAGTAAAGCCTGGGTTTTGAAAGCACTGTCCGGGGTGATGGGGCCAGTTTCTCCCTCCTCTACAATGTGATGGCAGGTCTGCACTGGTATTCACAGGGCCTGCGTGTTGCTGACCCACAGAGTACTTGCTGAGTGGAAGACGAGTGAATGATGGAAGAAATAAATTAATACATAGGGGGTGCTGTGCTGGTTGAGAGTAGAGCTGATGAAATTGCAGTGCTGCCATTTATCCTGTTCTCCTGATTTGTGATATGGGTACAGCGATCCCCTCCTTACAGCATTCTAAGAAGATTAAACAAGATTTAATCTTAATTTATGTAAAGCATTTAAACTAGCACTGTAGTTGGAGGTTGCTAACCAGTCCCTTGTCATGGCACCACGGTGTTAAGGTACCCACTGATCCCAGCCCAAGAGCCCACCATGGCCACAGTTCTGCACTAGCGTGGGAACGGTGGCTCCTGGTGTTTGTTTCCCTCTCCACACAAGCAACTGTTGCAGAGTGAGCTTTTGTTTTGTGCATCTCAAATTTGCTAATTTATTTATGAGCCTGGGTGGATCTACACACACAGAAAGAGATCTGTGAGCATATTCTCCAAGCTGCCAAGAGTAGCCGTTCCCAGGGAAGGGGGTCAGCCACAGATGGTGACTGATGGGACCTTCAATTATACTGTCTTTTTGTAGTTGTTCAATTTTTTTTATAAGTATGTCTTTTGTGATTAAAAAAATGAATAAGAAAGTACAAAGGAAAGGTTTTCAAAGATTATTTGATGATATGAGAAAAATGTCACAAGACCATGTTATTAAAAAAATGGGATTCAAAACATTGTGTCTTATATAGTTCTATCTACACATAATAAGATCAGTATTAATCAAGCCTGTCTCTGAGTATAGGATTATGGGTGGCTAACTTTCTTTTTAAACTTTCATTAATTTCTGAGTTTTTATACATGGCTCTTATAGTCACACATATTTGACCCTTTGCACTGGAGCCCAGGTTGGCCTTTCTAATCAGAAAAGAAAGCAGAAGTGCTCAAGTGTGGCTGTTGCAGGGGTGGGGCGAGGGAGCCTGCAGTCACATGCCAGAGCCCAGGTCCTGAGAGAGCTAGAAACCTCAGGTGATAAAAATCCAATCACAAATTTCCACCAGCGGGTGAACTTACCAGATTAGTTATGATACACCAGAAGCGGCTGTTTTGAAATATCAACTCTGGACCTAAGTGGGAAAAGCCACTCCCTCGTCAACATTCCGGGCTCTCCTCTTTCACGCCACAGTGATGGAAGTAGGAATTTGGGGTGCTTTTGAAACTTGGGGATGAATACAGGTGACAGCTCGCAGGATTGGAACCAGCTCTGGCCCCTTTTGTCTACACTTGTATTCTGACTTCCATGCTTTGGGACCCTTTGCTGCTCTCTGCCTCTTGGAGGCCCCAGAAATTGATAGCCCAGTTCAGTTGTGGGAACTTCCAGGAACTATAACTTTGTATTAAAACAACACACAGAACTCTCAGTGCCTTCTTGGACCTATGTGGAAAGTACTTGGCAAATGTTAATACAAGCCGAGGCTTCTGATCAATTACTCAAGGAATTGTACTGAATGCTGCTCCGAGAGGACCTCTAAGTGGAGCAATGTGAGCACAAGGGGTTTGGAGGTGCATTTCATGGTTCTTTACAAAACACCATTATCCTTGGGGGTGAATTGTCTGACTGTAGGCAAAGCCGGGTACAGAAACTGGAGGGGAGTTGTGATCTACAGATAATGTGTGCTATGGAGTGCTTTGCTAGGGCATAAAGAATGTTAAGCAGTAATTGTACCTTCCACAGGCATGAGAGCAGGCCTGAGACACAGCCAAGGACATCTATTTTGTCCCAGGAGATTCCCTGGGCAGGTTACTCTCCTCCGTGCCCTGTCAGGTGTTTGAATGGAAGAGCAAGAAAGGGGAGGGCCTTGTCGATTTGGTAATTTTAGTACGATTTCAACTCAGGAATAATAAAGTGCGCCAAAAATGGTATGCTTGATGACATCATGATCATCTTGGAGAGCTGACAGGTGACTCTTGTAGCAAAGAGGCTGTTGGCCTGGTTTGGTGATGCCTGTGGTCTCCAGAGATCGTCCAGTTAACTTCAGCCCACCTTACCTAACCCGGGGATTCAGAGCGTAAGTTTCCTAATTTAAACACAGCAGCTGCCAATAATATGAACAGCCACTTTGGGAGTCCCTGCTGGCTCCTCCCATGGTCACAGCCGTCCTAGGAGGGTGGGAGGTGGTAGCCCATGTTACAGATGATGAAACCAAGGCTCTGGGACAGCGTTGTTGCCTGAAGTTACAAGGTTTGTAGAAGCACCCTACAGATTTGAGGCTCATGATCCTTCAGAAAGGAAATGCCAGTTTTGCAAGGGAAGTGAAGGACAGCTGGTGTGACTGATGTATTAAGGTGCATCGTCCAAAAGAGGGCTGCTTGGACAGTGGAGAAAATGGTACTTTTGTTCTGAGGCCACTTCAGTTCCAGTTTGCCCAGTGCTCAGCCCTCCTACCCCAGGCAGGGCCCAGAGGAAGCAGCCAGCCAGACCCAGCAGTCAGTAGAGAGAGGACAGGTAGTGGGTAGTGGTGGAGAAGGAAAGGGAGGAGTAACCGGTGGGGCTGGCTTTCCCCAAATAGAAATAGACAAACAACAGAAACAAGAGTAAATAATCTTCCCAGGAAATTCCGAGTGTAAGTGGAAACAGTATGGGAATTAGAGGATTCTGGCTACATACTGAGGGGGTTGGTTACAGCAGCCCCCAAGAGCTCAGCTCCAGAATTGGCCTCAATAGATGCATTTATATACACACAAAGGTGCAGACATTTGTAGGTGCCTCCTACACACTGCTGCTTGTTCTTCCCACCATCTAATGCACGTGTACACACACATACACACACAAATATACTTATCTTTGCTTATATGGGCAGAGGGTGTGTGGGGATAGATTTAGAGATGAAGATATGAAGATTCCTTAGATGATACAGCTGCTCATCAAAGGCACATAGGTGATCCAACCAATTAGGCCAAGTTGGAAAAGTCTGTCATAAGTATGTATTTATTTGTAACACCTCATTCATTGGTTTGGTAAACTGTTTACTCCTCTGATCTCCTATTGCCATGCTCATAGACACGTGGACCCATTGTCTCCATGAATGGGGAATACTTTCCCAGAGGAAACTTGGAAGCCTTAGAGATTCCTTGGAGTGACAGCATCGAGAGCATTTGGGCCCCTGCTGCCAGGAAGTGGCCACTTGCAGTTCTGCAGACTGGAAAGCACTGGATGGATGGCAATATTTTTGTTGGAAGTCGCTCTTAAATCCTACCCTGACTTAGTACCTGGAACAGTCATGCAGGAGTAGTGATTTCTGTGAAAGCTGTATGGTGGGTTGTGTGCTTCCTTCATAACAAGACCAATACAAAGAGCCGACCCCCGGCACAATGTTGGTGCACTGATAGGACCTGCTCTGTGTTCCCCTCAATCGACCTATGTGTTATCAGCTTTGTGTCACTGTAACCAGAATACCTAACAAGAACAACTTAAAGGGGCAGAGATTATTTTGGCTCCTGGTTTCAGAGATTTAGTCCATGGTGGGCCAACTCCACTGCTCTGGGCCCAAGGTGAGGCAGAATATCATGGCAGAAGGATATGGTGAGGGAAGCTGCTTAGGGCAGGGTGGCTGGGAAGCAAAGAGAGAGAGAGAGAGAGAGAGAGAGGCCAGGAAGGGGCCACAGAGAAGGTGCACCCCTCCAGGGCATGCCCCTAGTGACCCACCTCCTCCAGCCATGCCCCACCTGCCACATTAAACCATTAGTCCATTCAAACTAGGATGGACTGATTGGGTTACAGCTCTCGCAACCCAATCATTTCACCTCTGGCTCTTCTTGCCTTAACACAGGAGCTTTGTAGGAAGCACTTCATGTCCAAACCATAACATCCTGCGTGGAAAGTTCTCGGCTCTGGGCAGCCTTCATTCCTGGTTGCACACTGTCCTTCACCTACTTTGCACTATTTTAATAAGGAAGCACTGTGCGTTGTGTCATGGTGCAGCTGAGCATAGGCTCGTGGCTCCCATTATGTAGCCCCTGCTGTGTGCAAGGCATACTCTGTCACTCCAGTAGCCCCCTGCCCAGGGCCAGTTGGGTTGGAGAATCTTGGGGGAAATTTCTTAGACTGCCTACATCCTGCACACCTGAGAAGCTGGTGGAAAATATGGATTCCTATCATATCCCTTCCAGATAAATCCCTTGATGGTGGAGCCTGCCAGTCTACCTATATCTGCACCCCAAGTGGATTCTCTGTACACTGGTGTTTGAGAGGCACTGGTTTCTGGCTCTGGAGGATGGAAAACTCCCCTCAAGTTATCAGATTAAGGGTTCTTATCTGGTTTTCCTCAGATGTTACCAGGGTAGTTGTTAGACAGTCGTTCCCTGTCTGGGTCCTCTTGGTTTCTGTAGGAGCCAGGCTGGGTGGGTTGGGGGTTGGGAGAGAGCAGAGAGTCTGTTTCCAGCCCTGGGCGGTTCCCCCACCTGCTCTCTGCCCTGCTAGTGTGCAGGATCCAGGAATTGGCACTCAGTGAAAGATTTTGATTTCCAGTGGAATTTGTGCTGTCACAGGATTTGACCCATGGGACTTGTGAATAGAGAGATGGGTTAGGGAAGCATGTGACTTGGCTGACGGCCGCGGCAATGATAAATGTGGCAGCAGTAAGAGTAAGAAGGGAATATGTCTGGCTGCAGGTACGACCTACCAAAGAGACAGTTCTGGCCCTTGTCTGACGACTCATTCTGAAAACTGGCCATGCATGGGCGAATCTCTCCCACGTTGTTTATTGCTTCTCACACGGAGTACCTTTTTAAATGATCCTATTAGACAACAGAGAGTGTGGGGCACACAACTTTGTGCTATCTAAGGTCACAGTGCAATCAGGACTCCTAGTAGTATCTTTAAGGCGTAATTCATTGCTCTTGTAGCTTTGACATATGTGAGGGTATGAGGGTGAGCATCGGGAATTTTATGCTGTAAAATCTTCCAAATTGTTTTTCAAAACACTGTAGCGTCGTGGGTTTGAATGGAGATAGTGGCAACAGACCTGGATTTGGATACTACTCTGCCACTTCCTACACCTTTGGGAAGTCACTTAAATTCCATGGACCTCAGCTTTCTCATCTGTAAAATGGGAACAGTAATACTGGTCTCAGAGGATTATAGCTAGGATTGAGTGAAACTATCAAGCACATAATGAAGTGCTTTGAAATTGGAATGGGGACAAAGATGATTGACGTTGTGTTGTAATATCTTTGGGTGAACAAATTCGCCACTTATATGACTTTTTTCCTAGTTGCCTGGTTGAAATAAAGAGTTAACCAGAATCTGTCTATTCCTAGTTCTATTCTAGGGATAGAACTGTTTTTATTGAAAGATCCTCTGCAGCCATGGGTGCCTCTTGGTTCTTAGAAAGAATTATCCAATGCTTATGATAAGGTACAAGTTTGACATGAAACCTGCACATGGCAGTTTTTGCTTTTTGGGTTTTTGTTGTTGTTGTTTTGCTAAATGGTGGGTTAGTAGAAGATCTGTGTGGAAAGGAAGGGAGTTTGATGATGTGTTGATGGTTCTGTTTACATCTCTTTCTCCAAGGTAACAAACTCTGCTTCACAAAGTCAAGAAACCATTCTTGGTCTTTAATAATAGTAGTGATATTATTATAACAGTAAGCCACAATGGCTACTATGTACTGGGCATATGTACATTATCTATTTTTATTGTTCCCCATTTCCTACATGAGGAGATGGAGGTTTTAGAGGTTGTGCAAGGTCGCACATCTGGTAGGGACAGATCAAGATTGGACTCTTTGCACAACCTTTATGTGCAATGCTTTCCCTGTCTTGGGAATGAGGGCAAGTGGTCATAGGAAGGAGGACTGATGTCAAGTGGCCTACGGGGACAAGAGGCTAAGGGAACTTATTGACTATTGACCACTGAGGGGCTGGCTCTATTGCTGGGTCGCTCCTGGATTCACCATTGGCAGCTGGAGGCTAGAGTGCTACTTTCCATAGGTGGTTATTGACCAGATTGTGACCTCTGGGCTTGGCCACAGTGATTGATTGATTTGTAACTTCAATATTAACCCCCACAGTGGGGTGCCCTTTCAGTCAGCATGGGAGACCACCCAGAAAAGTTCATCTGGGTTGAAAGTATGCCGCAGTCTGCTCTCCTTAGGAGGCCTGAACACACACACACACACACACACACACACACACACACACTCCTGGGTGTCATTTGTCCTAGCTTTGTTTGTTTCTGCGGGTGTCTTTGAGTTCACCTAGAACCTATGGGAATGACTTTTAGTTTGGAATTCGTAAGAATTAGGAGAAAATGATTCTCTGTCCTGGTTTAGAGTTTCCTTTCTTCTCTTGTCCAAAAGTATAGGGTGACAATGTGTCCCAGATTTTTTGGGGGGTAGAACAAAGCTTAGATATTCTACAGTGATGGCCCAATAAAATCCTAGAAAATTAACTTGGGCAAATTATAACCAAGGCAAGTGAGTAATTATTACCATAAAATGTGCCTCCATTTCAGGAATTGAAAAATTTGAGGCTCTGGAAAATTAAGACCACGGTTGATAGAGGAGGAGTGACAGTCTTTGTGTCAGGTCTTGGAATGGCAGAAAGAAAATACTAAGTAGGGAATAAAGGACACTTTATTCTTTGCAAGGGGTGGGGATGGGTGGGTATTGGTGCTGTGTGTGTATACGATTTTCCTAAATTCAAAATGAAACATATAATGCATTTTGATGAACCAGAGAGTTAATTACTGTGACATGAAATGTGCTCGCTGTTATCATTTTTTGTCCCCCAGGGAGAGAACTAGAGAGAGACACAAATCACCCCGAAATAAAGATGGCAGAGGGTCAGAAAAATCTGTCACCATTCAGGCTCCCACCGGAGAGCCCCTGTTGGCAAACGATTCTACTCGGACCGAGGAAGTTCAGGTAAGGCTCACAGGTGGTCTGTAAGTATACTGCTGCCCCTTGACCACGTCTCTTTTCTGTAAATGTTTTCCTAAGTCCTGTTGCAATAGGCTCTCTTGGGTTTTTAACCTTTATTTTTCTAGCATGTTAATTAGTTTATCTATGTCCTGTGGTTTCTTGTTGGTCTAAGGACAGCCTGTCCCGCCATTGGATAGCTTGGGGATTCTCCTGAAGTGTGACTGGTTGGCCTGCGTTGAATGGTGTTGGACAGAAGCCAGGACTGCTGACGACGGGGCAGGGAAGGGAAAAGTTCCAGGCTGGAGTCTCCGGAGACTCCTTCCAAAATGGAACAGTATTAGGGAAGGAATCTCTGTCTCCAACAAGGCTAAGTAGTGTTGGGAAGATGAGGAAAGAAGTTAGGACAGCTCAGATGTACTCCTGGACATGTGAAATAAACCAGGGGCTGGACACTCAGGCCTGGTAGGGAAACAGGATGAATGAGGTACCACCTGGATCAAAGAGAAGGGACAGGTATATATCAAGCAAGCTTTGGGTGGTAATGGCCTCTGTGATCCCTCAGCATGAAGACCTTGGGATGGAGAGAAGGATCTATGACGAACTGGAGAAGTTGTTTCCTCTTCTAAGGGACAGCAGCTCTCTCAGCTCCAGAGACTTCCTGCTGCTTGGAAATGCAAGGACTAAGTGCTGATGGGTGTTGCAGTGTTTAAGAAAAGTCAGGGGGCTGGGGTTATGGCTCAGTGGTAGAGCGCTCACCCACCAGGTGCGAGGCCCTGGGTTCGATCCTCAGCACCACATAAAAAAATAAATAAAATAAAAAGTATTGTGTTCAACTACTTCTAAAAACTAAATATTAAAAAAGAAAGAAAGAAAAGAAAAGAAAAGCCAGGCATTAGGGTGATTAGGAAATCACCCAATTTTGAAATATGGTCAGTTTATTTCTTTATTGAAGATATCACTTGGGTTCTTCTCTGGGCCCCTGCCTGGCAGCCTGTTGACTTAAATCAACATCTGAGCTAGACTCAGAAGCATGCTTGCACAACCGCTGCACCTCCTGAAACACATGCGTGTCCAGCCTTGCCTCACACAAACAAAGCCAAGTGTGCACACACAGCTGTAAAGATAGAGGGCTGAAGATAAGCCTGTATCTGAATACAACTGTAGGTGCACAGAGATAGGCGCTTATAGTCACATCCACGGACAGAACTGGCAGTTCCTCAGAGCACACATGGTGCTCTGGGATCCCAAAATGCAGGTGTGGGTTGAATGTGGGGTTTGTTCAGTGATGAGCAAATGCCTTTAGAACTGTTGCACTGATTGCCTTGGCTCTGAGAGGATGGGTGGTTGGGTGGATGGATGGATGGATGGATGGATGAATGGACAGATGAACAGTTGGACCAATGGGGCCAGTCCTAGGACTGGACCTTCATTAAGTGCTTTAAGAGTCAGCTTTCTCCTGGAAGTGGATGCTAAATGCCATGAAGACATTTCTTTGTTTGTAGCTTCTCTACACTGTGTACTCACTGGGAAGCTGTTGATGTTTACTGCAGGGTGATGCGGTGGGGAAAGCATTCAGAGGTTGTATACCTCAATAGCTGTATTACCTTGGGCAATCAAGTGGAGTGGGCCTCTGCTGGCCTCATTGAAAATCTGGAGGATTGGATTAGAGGAGTTCATTCCTTTTTGTTCAAAAATCCTCAGGCTTTGGAGAAACATTTGTACATGTACATTTTGTTTTAGGCACAGATGTGCACAAATTCTTAAACTGGACAGGAGATTTAGTAACTCTTTGGCAAAAAAAAAAAAAAAAAAATGAACAGATACATCAGAGCAATGTGGTTGGCAAGAAAATGATCACAAGGTACTAATAATTACTTCAGCACTGATTTGCAACTTTTTCCTAGCTGTGATACAAATCTGGAAGCCAGTGTTTGTCTTTATGAAGAGGGTTACAAAGTAAATTGTTTCCTGTAGACTGTGAACTCACCTGTTATTAAGCAAAATTTGTTTGTCTTTGAATTTGTATCTTTCTCCCTGGCTGATGTATTTTTTTCTTTTTTAAAAAAATTGACCTAAATTTATACACAGAGAAATAAAGCAGATCTTAAACATTTCAGTGAGTCTTCATAGATGAATTCACCTCTACAACCCACACTCTTCACCACAGATTCTCCCAGGCCTTTCCTGGTCAATCCCTATCCCCATCTCCACCTCTCCAAGGCAACCACTGTTTTGATTTCTATCTCTGTTGGATTAGTTTTGTCTGTTTTAGAATTTAATGTAATTGGAATCATATGATTTTTTTCCTCACTCAGCATGATTTTGACATTTATCCATGGTTTGATATGTTTCAACAGTTCATTCTTTTTCATTTTTTGCTGAGTAGTATTCTATTGTATGAATTTACTGCAATTCTCTTTTATCTGTTCTCCTGGTGGGTGGACATTGGAGTTGCACCACTTTGGCTGTTCACAAACAAAGCATTTAAGAACATTCTTGTACAAATCTTCTGGGGACATATGTTCTAATTAATTGGGGGTAAAGCTTAGGCATAGACTTGCTGGGTCACCTAGTTAAGGGTGTATTCAGATTTCTGTGAAACTGCCAGGCCAGTTCTCCAAAAGTGTTTTATCAACTTAACACGTCCACCAGTGATGTCCAAGAGTCCTGGGAGCTTCTGGCTGTTCATAGGAATGGCCTTTATATTCTGTGGTACTTCTCATTTTCCATGATGAAGGTCTTTTGTTCATCGGTTGGGACCTTTACCACCACTGTCACCTCTAAACCTAGCCTGTCCATTTCATAAGTCATGGGTCATTTTGTTTTGTTTTTTAATCATTACTAGATTTGGAATTATTTGGTTATGAGAGATCTGTGTACCTGAGTAGATCTCTTTAAGTTGATGTCCTCGTTTTACCCATCTTGCTGCTGTGACTCAGTGTGTTTGTGTGTGTGTGTGTGTGTGTGTGAGACAGAGAGAGAGAGAGAGAGTTAAATCATATGCACAAATCTCTGAGGCAAAACTTCTTTGGACTTCATAGCTTTTTGGTCCCTTCTTGCTTTATTGTGCTTTGGAATGAAGTCACAGCTGCTAGGGAAATAGCAGGCGTGTTTGAGACCCTAACAACAGGATCTTGTTAAATGAATAGACTAATTGCTCCAGCTAGCAACTACCTAGAAGTTTAAAAAAAAAGAGAGAGAGAGAAAGCAAGAGAGTAAAACTACAGGACAATAATGCTGGTTATTTGTATGCTCTAGGTGTTTAGTTTGCCCCGAACATGTGTTTTGGAAAGAATTTCTGATTCTTGAATTTGCTTAGTTTGGTCAGTGAAAACTGCTGTCAGCAAGTGCTTTATATTGCTACTTCCTGAGAGGGTCTTACAGACATCATACAGAGCTTTTTTTTCTTTTTTTTAAATGCATGTACCAGCCACAGGTGAGCTTGGATTTCTATAGTGATGTAAGTTCCCTTTCTGTGCCACAGAGCTATTGCTCCACAGAGCTATTGGAGTGTGTGGTAATGTTCCCCACTTCCAGAATTTGGACTTTGTAAGCTTTTAGAGGTCCGCATGCATTAGGAGGAAAACACAGGGGGCTTCTTCTGTAAGTGATCTCTCACAAGGTTAATCCAACAGCTGGGTCTTTATTGCAGGGCAAATAGCCCCAGGCCCAGAGCTTCTTGAGACTTGTCAACTGGCCAGGGATGGTAATCAGAGTTATGCTAATGAATCACCCAAACAATACAAAGATTTAATTATGTTTTTCTCTGTTTGGAAAGGTAAATACAAGCCAGCAGAGCTAGGGAAGCTAAGGCTGAGGATCACAGATTCAAAGCCCTCCTCCCCAACTTAGAGAGGCCCTAAACGATTTAGCAAGACCCTCTCTCAAAATACGAAATTAAAAGGGCTGGGGAATGTGGCTTAAGTGCCCCTGGGTTCAATCCCTGGTATCAAATAAATAAATAAATAAATGGTATAAAAATTTTTTAAAAAAAGATAAATACATGATACATGTTGAAGATTTCAGTGAAAATTGTTAAGGTTTAAAATTCTTCTATTGCATGTTTATTCAGTTCCCATTTTCTAGAAAGCCCAGCATGTAGAGTTGGGTAAATGGGGTGCATTCTCCACATACACTGTGTCTTCTGGTGGCTTTTACAAATGACCTGCTTCTTTGGGCTCATCATCCTCATTGTCGCCTCTCCCATCAGGATGACAACTGGGGAGAGACCACCACAGCCATCACGGGCACCTCGGAGCACAGCATATCCCAAGAGGACATTGCCAGGATCAGCAAGGACATGGAGGACAGCGTGGGGCTGGATTGTAAACGTTACCTGGGCCTCACCATCGCCTCGTTTCTGGGACTCCTAGTTTTCTTCACTCCCATTGCCTTCATCCTGTTACCCCCGATCCTGTGGAGGGATGAGCTGGAACCTTGTGGCACAATCTGCGAGGGACTCTTTATCTCCGTGTCATTCAAACTCCTCATTCTGCTCATCGGAACCTGGGCCCTTTTCTTCCGCAAGCAGAAAGCCGACGTGCCACGGGTGTTTGTGTTCCGAGCCCTGTTATTGGTCCTCATCTTCCTTTTTGTGGTTTCCTATTGGCTTTTTTATGGAGTCCGTATTTTGGACTCTCGGGACCGAAACTACCAGGGCATTGTGCAATACGCGGTCTCCCTCGTGGATGCCCTCCTCTTCATCCATTACCTGGCCATCGTCCTCTTGGAGCTCCGGCAGCTGCAGCCCATGTTCACGCTGCAGGTGGTCCGCTCCACTGATGGAGAGTCCCGGTTCTACAGCTTGGGACACCTGAGGTAAGGGCAGGGGGCGTTCAGGAGGCAGAAAGGCCAACTGGTATCCCTGGAAGATAGCTGGTCGTCAGTATGACAGATGCACGTGCCAGGACCAGGGCTGGATTCCTTTCTGGTTTGGGGGAGGAGCTGTGTGCATGAACCTGTGTATAGGTAGTGGGGGTGTCTATGTGCATCGGTTAGCTGGACTTTTGGATGGGGCCAGCCAAGTCAGGTTTTGTTTTAGTTGACTTTTTCACTGCTGCAACTAAAAGATCCAACCGGAATAATTTTTAAAGGAGTAAGTTTATTGGGGAGGTGTGAGGCTCACGGTTTCAGAGGTCTCAGTCCATACACAGCTGGCTCCATCCCTTGAGACTCAAGGTGAGGCAGACATCATGGCGGAAGAGGGTGGTGGAGGGAAGCAGCTACACGATGATCCAGAAGCAGAGGGAGACTCCATTCCCCCCAATCAGCCATTTCATCCAGCCATACACCACTTGCCTCCAGTTACCATTCAGTTAATTTCTATTAGGGGATTAATTCACTGATTGGTTTAAGGTTCTCATAACCCACTCATTTCCCCTCTGAATGTTCTTTCATTGTCTCACACATGAACTTCTTTGGGGAGGTCTCACATCCAAACCCTATCAGGTTTTGTCAGGACTATTCTCAAAACTTGTGGACAGCTTTCTAAAGTGGTGCAGAAAGGGTGTACCTAGTGATGACTGCCTGCCTTGACCATGAAATTGTCTTCTGGGCAGTGCATAAAGTGACTATTAATTCCATTTTGCCCCAAATGGATCATCTGGTTTACTGTGGTATTCCAGTGGAATTATTAATCATTCCTCCCTCCTTTTTTTTTTTTTAACTCTCAGAGATATCCTGGTTTGGGCAGTAAATTATACGGTCACACTACTGATCCTCCAATAAAGAATCAAATACAGGTTAAAGACTCCCAGATGTGTACGGGTTGAGTGTTTTGAAAATATGTTCATGAGAAAAAGTTAGAAATCAACTGGGGTGTCATAGTTTAAGCCTCTGCATAAAAATCCCATTATTTCGGGTTAGCTACAAGAGTGAGGATCGTCATTTATTTTATGGATAAATAAAGGTAAGCACATCATATGAATTACATATTTAGTCTTCACAGAACCTGTGATACAGGTAGTGTCAATCCCATGGTTGCAGATAAACTGAGGTTTAGGAAATTTAAGTAATTTGTGCAAAATAATATGACTAGTCTTGTTTAGAATTCACTCAGATGTCACGGCTGAGTTCATGTCCCATTGTGGCATCTCTCATTTGGTGTTAGGAGCTTATTTTCCCTCCACAATGAACTCTCTAAGGCAGGACCTGGTTCTTCTGGGGTCTTCAGTGCTCAGCATGGAGCATGGCACATGCTCAGATGGTCCCTGGGATGTCTGACTTCAAGCTTCTCACTCCCCAGGCCCTTGTGACTCCTGGACAGAATGTGCTGATGTGTGTGATCTGCAGTAGTGAAGCTGGCCAAGTGGCCAAGGTCGGCAAGGGCATCTTGGTGAGAAACAGAACAATTGGCTTTGTTTTGGCTAGAGCCCAGGCGGGTGGCTCAGCCCCTGTTTGGAGTCAGGTCACACTTAAGCCATTGAGTTGGCAGTCACCTCTTTCATTCCTTTGGTTCTGCTCCTACCACACGGAGGACTGGGTGATTTAGCGTTCAAGGTTACTTGCCACCCTAATTGATCCTCAGAGGGAATTGGTGTCTGATTCACATGCTCTACACACCACATATGGTGTTTTGAGGGTTTTGAAGATGCCTGTGTGGCTCTGAAGGCAAATAAGTCACTGCTATATATTAATCTCAGTTTTCTTTCCATTTTGGAAAATGACCCGAAGATTTGTTTTAAGTACTTCTGTGTGCAGAGCCCAGAACTTGGAACTCCAGAGACACCTGGGTGACTGCCTGCTTTGTATCAGGACTCTGGGATTTGCAGTCACTTGGAGAGAGACCAGTAATACTGCTCTGTGGCAGATAGTTGATGAAATAGGCCTATAGACAGGTGACGGGGACAATGGATAGGAGATCTCAGACAGTGGCAGTGACCAAGACCAGCAGGGAACAGTATGTCCCAGGACAGGATTTAGAGAAGTTAAGGCAAATGGAGAGACATCCAGCTGTGGGCAAGTGGAGAGAGGTAGTATTTGGAACTGCATGTGAATGTGAGCAGCCAGCGCACTGGCCAGGAGTGGGACCTACCAGGGTTCGGGTTTTTGGCCTTTATTCCTCCTTGGTGCCAATCTTATCTGTGATAGGAAGAGTGATACCTTTCTCACACCTAGGGTACTTTGTCTGACTTCCCCTCCATCAGCTCTCACTCCCTGTAAGTCTGGTCAATCTGATCTGCACTCCACATCTGAGTAGAATCGAGGGGAACAAATCAAACAGCCCCCCCCAAATGCCATAACCGGTGGCAGTCCTGGCATCTCACCACACAGCTGTACTGGTCAGAACGAGGAGGAGAAGCCACAGCAGGGCTTTGCTGCAGGGCCCGCAGGCTTACGGCAAACCTCAGTCTGCTCTCACTGTGACCAACTACTGCCTGTCTTTACTTTCTAAAGCAAAGCCAATCACCCCAGCTCCCCAGGGAGACTTAGGCGTTGGCTAATGTCCAGCAGCTGAGGTGGGGAGAACGTTTGAATGGTTCCCGGTATCTTCTTTTCGGACCCTCTTCCTCTTCCTGCCCTGTGTCCAGCCCCCTTTGTCCTTCCTGTGGAGACCCTGAATTATGAGGTGGAAAAATTGGCTGGGGAAGGAGAGATGTCTTTCCTCCCAATTAGAGCCCTCAGCGGGGCTGGATGACCTGTGACAGGCAGTCTGCAAGGGCTGGAGCAGAGTTGGCATTTCTCCTGGCACTGTGTGGGCCTGGTCACCCGCCGATCCTTGGGCTAAATCCGATCCAAACCCAGAAGTGGCTGAAAGAGTCACTGGGCTGGAAATATAACTTCTAAGCCTTTTTGTAAAGTATAGAGACAGGAGGAAAGGCACATGGGAACGCACAAAAGCCAGCCTCAGACATCAGAATAGCAGGTCTTCATCAGACCTGACCAGAATGACAGGCCGTTCCATTTTCCCTTTATGCAAAGCCTTCACTGCACCAGCAACCTACTGGGCTTAGGTGCAGAGTGATGGGGAGTGCTTTTTTCCTGTTTTCAAAGATGGTTTCATTGAATGCACCGAGCTATTTTTGAAAGTTGTCAAAAGAATGCCTACTCTTTAGTTGGTTTTTTTTTTTTTTTTAAGGAAAATAGGCTTCTTGTTAGTTCTCATAAAAAGCACTTGCTGTGGCCCAGCTTGTTGGCAAGAATAGAATTTGGGGCTTATTTGAAAACTTTTTTTTTTAATGCAAAAGGTTATTGTTATAGGATAGATAATGCTTCAAATAGATCAAGAGACTTCCTAACCTTCCCCCGGTGCCTTAGAAGTTACAGGAGCTTTTCATACCTTTGGTCTTAATTTACCCCACCTCAGGAGTCAGAGCAAGTTGGGTATAGTGTCTCCCTATTGCAGTTGAGAAGCTGATCTCCAGGTTAAGAGACCTGCCCAAGGTCACAAGGAGCCAGCACCTTGCTGTGCATCACACCCCCCGAACTTTCTAGAGCACTCTAAGCTCTTGGCGACGTTGGTTCGCAATTCTCCACACACATCCCACAGGTCTTGCACCATTCTCCCATGGTTTGCTAACTTTTCTGCCGTTTCAAGAGGGACAAGTGAATTTCGATCTGACTGTATTTGAAGAGAAACCCAGATGAATAGAGAAAAGAGACTGAAAATGATGTGTGATTATTCTAATTAAGAATTTCTAAGTTTTGAAATCTTTCAAGGAAAGTACTGTGAACACTGGAATGCCGACACTGGTGTCATTGCTTGAACTCGAGGTGAAGAAACAGGGACAAAGAAAACCTCAACAGTGACTGATCACATGGTTCTGATCTGCCAGGACGCTTCTCCACTCATAACATGCAACTCGATCTTCACAACAATCCCGAGGGGAAGGCACTGTTATCCTCATTTTTAATGAGGAAACTGAGGCATGGAGAGTTAAGCAAGTTTGTAATGGAGGAGCCAGATTTTGAGCCCTTGGTGATCTGGCTGCAGAATGATCTTAAGCACTCACCATTCTGCCTCTGAATGGAGGCTCATCTTCACGCCACAGCATGTGAGCAAGCTCTGGTAGCACTGTTGGTGAGCATCTGGTAGCACTGTTGGAGTGTTACCGTGTCCCAAGCTGGGTACTAGCTATTGTACACATTTTCTTTTTTCATTCAACTTTTAGCTTCAGGGCTGGAGTGGACGGAATGAAGAGGATAGTCAGGGCATTTTTTTTTAAATAGTTGTAGGTGGACAGCATGCCTTTATTTTATTTGTTTTTAATTTTAGGTGGTGCTCAGGATTGAACCCAGTGCCTCCCATGGGCCAGGCAAGCATTGTGCCACTGAGCGACAGCCCCAGCCCTGGCCAGACCTTTTTGCAGTCTCTGCTTCACATGTCTCAGGAAGACATCTTACCCTTTGCTATGTAACAACTACTTCACAATGTAATAGTTTAAACCAACCACCGTTTTATTATTTCTCATGTTCTGCAATGTGGATTGGGCTCAGCCAGGAGACTCTTCTGCTGGTGGTCCCTGTGTGGTTGAGTCAGCTGGGCCGGGCTTCTTTTCCTATCCTGTATTCTGAGGGGCTTTCCTCTCCATATAGCCTGTCTTTGTTGTTTCTACATTAGGATATTCACACTTCTTAAAGGGCAGCTCAGGGTTCCCACTAGCATAACTCAGAAGCTTCCAGGCCCCTTAAGTCTGAGGCCTAGAATTGGCTGTGTTTTACTGCTATTACATTCTCTTGGTTAGAGCAAGCCCCAGCCTACCCCAGATTTTAGGATTGATAACTACACAGGTGGAGACTAAATCTAGGAAGCCTGCTTCAATGTAGCAGACACCCACCACCTTGGACTGCCATTCCCCCTCTATTTATTCTTTGTTTGC